TCCGGGGGATGGAATGCGTGAGTCACAGTCGTGAGAAACGCCACGAACCGGGCTTGCTGCGGGATTGACCCCGCTGCCGCGGCTCCCCCTCGGGTGCTCAGAACTCCTCGGTCGCCCAATGCAGACGCTGCCCTGGATGCCGGCGCGCGAAGGACAACGTGTCCACGCTCGCATGAAGAGCCAGGCGAAAACCCGACCCACCGCTTCCTTTTCATCACTGCCACGATCCCCGCCGGCGGCACTCAACCGCACACCAGGCCTTGGACGACGGTCCTCCTCAGGCGGGTTAGCCACGACCTTGGCTCTGTGCTGCACAGCCCGCTCTGCCAAGATCTCGCCGCCCCCCTCCAATGCGGCTGCGCCGCAGGCCTCCTTCTGACTCGTCGGTCCGTCGGGCTTGAGCTTCGCTCGCAGTTCCGCGAAACGCATCTCCAGGTCTGGCCTGCGTGACGAGGCAGCACCGCCACACTTGTGAGCGTCGGGATGATCATCGTCGCCACCGAACACAGCAGCACCCCCTGCAATGTCACCCTTCGGGGCCTCGCCCCGCTCGCTCCCCGCTGGAGTCGGGGGGCCTTCGATGGGAAACTAAGGTGGCGCCCCAGGTGCGTCGAGATCGCGCCGCAGTCGGTACGAATCCACGCGCATGAGCTCCTTACCTTTGTCAAGGGCCGCCCATACGCATTCGCCCGCGGCCCCCTCGCAGAAGTGCACCAACCGTCTCCGCCAGGGCCCCGAAGCAGCGCGGACAGCGTGGTTTCCCCCGACCCCTTTCACCACGTTCATGAACTCGCCTTCCGTGGAGCAGCCGTTCTGCCCGTTGACGGTGCACGACCCGCCCGTCGCAGACATGGCGAAGTGCTTCGCGGAGCCGCGGTGCTCGCCTCTGCAGTCGAACACCTCACCGTCACGCCCTGCCAGGAGAAGAGTGTAACAGTCGCTCTGGCCGCTCGTCTTCCACGGCTCAGGGCGCCTCGCCTCGGGGCCGGTCCTCGCTTTGGCTCGGGCGGCAGCCTTGCCCACGGGCTTCGGGCGGGGAGGCGGCTCCTCGTCATCGACGAGCGCGGGAAGGTCTGCTCAAGGCCTGCTCTTCTCGCTGCTCCGTCGCTTCTTCATGTGCTTGACCTCGCCGCCCTCGTCACTGGCTGCCGCAGGCCGCTTGAACGCCGTGCCTGCGGCGGGCGGGGACCAGGAGGCGGGACGGCCCTTCTTGATCGTGCCCGCCTGCGGGAGGGCGGCTCCTCCGCCCGACCCCAGGAATTCGGGGTCTAGCCAGGCGGCGCGCCCCCATCGCGCTCGCAGCAAGCCCCCAGCACTGGGTCGGCATGGCCAGCCGCGTGTGCGCGCGCGCGGAAGCGGAGGGGGAGGGGGACGCGCCGCCCAAGCCGTTTCGGGTCCCTTGAGCCCAGACAGCTACGGAAGAAGCCGTGGAGCTCCCTCAAACGTTTCCCGCCACACTCCCGTGAAATATGGTAAACCAAAGAGCACATCCATTATCAGCCGCATCATCGTCAGCAGCATTAACATCCTCATCGGCATCAAACTCAAAGCATGATGGGCATCAACATCAGCATCATTATCACCATCCAAAGCCATCATCATCACCACCATCAGCATCAGAATGATAATCAGCATTAACATCATCAGCCTCCTCATCCTCCTCCTCCTCCTCCTCCTCCTCATCATCATCATCATCATCATCATCATCAGCATCATCATCATCATCATCATCATCTGCATCATCAGCATCATCATCATCATCATCATCATCGTCATCAGCATCATCATCATCAGCATCATCATCACCACCAGCATCATCAGCATCATCATCATGACCATCACCATCATCATCATCAGCATCATCTGTATCATCAGCATCATCAGCATCATCATCATCATCATCATCATCATCATCATCATCATCATCATCATCATCATCATCATCATCGCCATCACCATCGTCATCGCCACCCTTGAGCCCCTCCTCCATTCCCCTGCAACCTTTCTTTATCCTTGAGCCCCTCCTCCATCCCCCTGCGCTCCCTTCTGTTCCTCGCGGTCATGTTCATCCTCGTCCTTCTCCTCCTTATCCTTGATATTCCTCGTCATCTCCCGCGCGCGGCTTCTTTCTCCACCCCTGGCACCATGCCCTTTCATGTTGGGAGGTGAGAACGAAGGGGAAGAAGAATCCAAGGGTGAGGGCTTGAGGTAGGAGGAGCAAGATGGAAGGAGGTTGAAGGAGAGGCCTCCTCCGCCTCGTCGTCCTCCTATATCAGCGTGGTTCTCACCCTTTCTCAACTCCTCGTCCTCCTCTTCTTGCTGCTACTTCCACTCATCTCTCCTCCATCGCCTCCTTCGCCTCCTTGTCTACCGCAGAGGGGAAGGGGCTCGAGGGACCCCCAAAAAACAGCCCTTCCTCTCGCGGCCATTCTCGGCCATCTGCGCTGTGGTGCAGCCTTGGCGCACAGTCGCCAGCAGAGCGCCCCGACCCGAGCCCCGCAATCACGAACAGAGACGCGGCGCCAATAACCAGGCGTTCCCGCGAGACCACTGTTGGGCCCACCGCTTGATCCCGCCCTCCCCTATTCTTCTGTTTTCTGAGGGGCGAGAGGTGTGGATGATTGGTCATTTGGGGGAAAGGGAGAGGTTCTCCTGGCTTACCGCCTCTTCGGGGTTCCCAGATCAATGTGGTGGCAGACCGTCCGACGACGAGATCCATAAATCCCGAATATGTGGTTGTGAAATTCCGAAAGCTTCACCAGACGGTATGTCACGGGACGGTTTTGGTTCGGGGCTCTGGTGGTAGAGGCGGGTCCCATCGACCCCAGGGCAGGGCTGACCCCAGGAACAGCTTTTCGACCCGAGCTGCTTCCTGCTACAGTCAGAACTGACAGCAAGTACGTGCGATGAGACTGCAAGCCCCTCGGGACGTCCGTGACAAAGCTTTTCGAGCGAGGCTCGCCATCGACAGTTGCGATCAGCGGCGAGCCCAGGGGGAAGTGAGAAGGGGCGGTCCTTCTCAGAAAGCTCTAACGTCCCCCGGCCTTCTGAACAATTCCTGAGCCTTCCCCGAAGACGCAGCGAACTTCTCAGAAGGCCGGAGGGCTTCTGAGAAGCCCTGCCGCCTTATGAGAAGGCCTTCTCCTTCGCACTTCCCCCCCGCGCTCGCCGCCTAGGTGAGGATGCAATTGAAGGCAGAGATGCAAGTGCACCATTGGAACATTTATCCATCCTTGATATCGACTTGGACGGTCATGAGTCCCGGGGCCCCCGGCCTGGGGGGAGCCCATGAGGGCGAACACGGCGGAAATCCTCTCAGGAGGCTCCTCCCTCAGGGCCACTCGCCGTGGCGACGAATCACCGGGCGGTGCTCGAGTACAGTCGGAATCTATGAGAAGGACGGGCGCTAAGGACGCAAGGGCCTAAGACGCCGAAAGTGGCACGCCTGGCAAATGAAAACCGCGAAGGACGGGCCGCAGAGACAAGGACGCAATGGTACCCTAAGGACATCCGTGTGTCCTCACTATGAGCGTTCACTGTAGGGGGATTGACTGCATAATTGACTGACCCCAGCACTCGTCAGTTCGCCGAATCCGCAAACAGGCACGTCGGATCGTCGCAGATCTGCACGAGCTCTGCGCACTCTCTCAACAGATTCGGCGAAGAAGAACATGCTGGAGTAAATCACTTCTGCGGCCGATCCCCCACTCGAGGTGTTTTTTTTTGTTTTTTTATATTATTATTATTATTAGTATTATTATTATTATTATAATTACTATTAGTAGTAGTAGTATTATTAATATTATTATTATTATTATTATTATTATTATTATTATTATTCTTATTATTATTCTTTTTTCCATTTTTGCACCACCAAAAAATACACTCGAGGCGTGGGCACCCGCTCCTCCCAGGAGATCCGATGCCAGCCGGGGGCCCCCACCTTGCCCCCGGACGACCGGCACGGCCCCCGCTCCCTGCGGCGCACGCCGCCCCAGTGGGGGGGGGACCCGAGAGGTGCCGACACCTTCCTCCTTCCTCCTCCCTCCTCCCTCCCTCCTTCCTCCTCCTCCCTCCTCCCTCCTCCCTCCTCCCTCCTCCCTCCTCCCTCCTCCCTCCTTCCTCCTCCTCCTCCTCCTCTCCTCCTCCTCCTCCTCCTCCTCCTCCTCCTCCTCCTCCTCCTCCTCCTCCCTCCTCCTCCTCCTCCTCCTCCTCCTCCCTCCTCCCTCCTCCCTCCTCCCTCCTCCCTCCTCCTCCTCCTCCCTCCTCCTCCTCCTCCTCCTCCTCCTCCTCCTCCTCCTCCTCCTCCTCCTCCGCCTCCTCCTCCTCCTCCTCCTCCTCCTCCTCCTCCTCCTCCTCCTCCCTCCTCCCTCCTCCCTCCCTCCTCCTCCTCCTCCCTCCTCCCTCCTCCCTCCTCCCTCCTCCCTCCTCTCCTCCCTCCTCTCCTCCCTCCTCCTCCCTCCTCCCTCCTCCTCCTCCCCTCTCCCTCCTCCCTCCTCCTCCTCCTCCTCCTCCTCCTCCTCCGCCTCCTCCTCCTCCTCCTCCTCTCTCCTCCTCCTCCTCCTCCTCCTCCTCCTCCTCCTCCTCCTCCTCCCCCCTCCTCCTGGACGGAAAGGCCCAATTTCACGTCAATGCCCTAGCACGGCACACGTGTGGGTGGCAAGGACGCAGGACCCTTGGAGGCCGAAGTCGGTACTTTTGGGCGGCGGGCGCCCAGTGAAAACGGCGAAGGACGGGCCGCAGAGGCAGGGACGCAAGAGCACCCTGGATGAAGGCGCGCGACCTTCCTAGACGCCTCTCCAGACCTCTCGCGCGTTGACTGTGCTCCCCGGACCTCTCCCCGGGTGCGTCCTGACCAGCATTTCGAGGCGAATCCAGCGGTGGCGACGACGGCCTCCCAGGAGGCCCAACACGGCGAAGACGGAGCGGGGGCCGCGGCTTGGGCGCCCCCGCCTCCTCTTCGGATCCCTGCCGCGCGCGCCGCCCGCGGAGGGCGGGTCCTCCCACGCGCGCCTGTTCATGGCGTTGAGCCACGGCGCGGCGCGGGCGGCCACCTCCTCTCGGGGTGGACGGGGAAGCGTCGGCGCCCAGAAGGGAGCAGGGGCGAGGGGGGTGGGCTTCCGAGAAGGCGGTATGGGGCCCCTGGGAAGGCAGGCGTGGGACAAGGCATGCACAGTGGAATCCACGCTGAAGTCGAGGTGCCGAGTCGGATCGGATCGCAATCGAGATCCTCGACATCGAGTCGACAGAGACGAAGTGACTCCTGTGAACGGCGAGCAACAGCCCTGTCCCCCTCCTCCTCCTCCTCCCGGGCTCTGCAGCGACCGCGCGGGCGTTAGCCCCAATGGGAGCTTCTCGGAAGCCCGCCGGGGGATTTGAGAAGCCTCCTCCCCGCAGTCTAAGAATACGCCTGCCTTCCTAAGAGGCCCCCCTCGCCGTCTTAGAGCAAGCCGCGCCCCTCGCCCTCGCAGAGGGAGGGGAAGCGAGCGGCTATCGGCTGGCTTTCGCAGCGCCTCCTTGCGAGGGAGGCGCCAGTGCACCGGCAAAGCGCCCAGCAGCGGGGCCGAAACCGGCTGCACGCCTGCAGCAGATGCCGCACCCCGTCCCTTCCCGATCCCTCCGCCGCCCCGCTCGCGACCCGAGCGTGTCAGCGAAGCGGTAGAGCTTGAGGGGACCCTGGATATGTGCACGTAGCATTCCCCCCCCGGGGTTACCTGTTTCTTGCTGCAGCCCTGAGCGGCTCGCTGCTTCCGCCACCTCTCTCGGCCGCGCCCTCCCCCTGCTCCCCCTCTTGCATGGTGGCGCGATTTGCCCTAACGGCACTCCCTTTTAGGCCTTTCTGCAAGCGCAGGTTTCCCCTGCCTTGCCGCCGACGCAGAAAAATTTCTTGCTGCAGCCGCCGACGGTTGGGGAACCGGCATCATGCTGCCGAGGTTCTCTGGTTTCTCCTGGCGCTGGAGGCGGCATTGCATCATGGAGTGCGCCCCCCCGCGGCGCCGAAACCAGCTGCACGTATCAAGTCTCGTGACCCCCTTCCCCAAACACCCCAACCAAAATCAGCACGAAACAGGTCCCCAAACACCTCCTGGTGTCATCCTGGCCAGTGTCTCGAGCTGCATGCATCTGTGCCCGCGAAATCCTTCATAAGCGAAGCATACCTAGATACATATGCATACATACACGTTGGTATATACATATATATATATATATATATATACAAATAGTTGTATACACATCATACCATATATGTGCGTATGCACATATATGCTTACATACAAATATAGACGTCCTCATCTTGGTTGGTCTGCTCCAGGCGGCATACATGCAAGCATGGGTATACCTCTAGTCTGTGAGTGCTAACATAACATCTACACAGACATGTGAGCGACGAACCAAAACGGGTATTACGCGGGATGACATATCGGCCTTGTGCAGTGGCTTACGCGGGCCGCCACCGCGGCACGCCACATTGGAGATGACAGCGCTTACGCGCGACCTTACGCGAGCAGCTTACGCGCCAATGTCGGCGCAGTTGGACCTATTTTTCGTCGCCCATGTGCGTATGTGTGCACGCACATCGATACAAGAGGCTGCCCGAGTTTCTCCAAAAGGTGAAAGCGTTGCAGACCACGCGCACGGTGACGAATCACCGCCGCCGCGCCGCTGAGTAGGCACTCTGTGGAGCTTCGCCAGGTCCCTTGGAGCCCTCTCCCTGCAGCGCACAGAACAAACTCTTCCAGGGGCCCACGGCCCCAAGATGGGGCGCTCTCGGGCGCTTACTGGATGCCTCCGAGGCCGGGCGCGCGATGCCGCGCGACTCGTCCGCAGGACAGCCCCGAGACAGGCCAGATGGGGCCCCACACGGCACCCAAGATTGCCCTATGGGCCCCCCCCAAAAAGAGCTCTCAGAGACCCCCGAGATGGCCGCGTGACGGCACACGAGGCCCCCCAAGAAACCCACGAGGGCTCCTAGGATCTTCGAGCTATCGCCTCTTTCTAGCAGGCCCCACGGAGGGAAAGCAAAGGGACCTTCGGCCCCCTCTGGTCGAAGATCTCCCTGGGCCGCCGAGAGGCATCCAAGAGCCCCCCCGAGAGACATCCGAAAGGACCCCAACAGGCATCCAAGAAGCCTCTGGCCCACCACCCAAGCACGGCGGCGGCATGAAAAGAAGGTCACGGTAGATGCATGTACGTGCGAATGTATATTTGTGTATATATATATATATATATATATATATGTATGCATCGTGTAGATGTGCTACACGAAGAGATATATATATATATATATATATATATGTATATATATATAGCTACACAAATCATGGACGCCGCTGCTGTTCGCACCAGCGAGAGCAGAAAACACGAGTCGTGGGGCAACGCGGCTCCAGATCTGGCCAACAACTCTGCGTTCCCGCGAAGCGCCGAGAACTGGATCTCCGACCCCATACACATCGGCCAGAGTTTCGGCCAGCGCCCAAATCAGAAGGTCTACTCAAGAAAGCGTCGACGCAGTCGACGCCACCACTGGAGGCCTCCTAGTTTTGGTCGGAGTAGATGGGGTCGCGGTTCGCACCGCATCGCCGATGCATTGGCGATACATCGGCGATGCATCGGCGATACACCGGCGATGCATCTCCGACGTGGGCGATGCATCGGCGACGTCGACGTGAAGCAAATCGGGCTCCACGTCGAACCGCATCGGCGATGCATCGGCGATGCTTCGGCGATGCGGCGAGACCCTCCGACCCCACCCACTCCGACCCCATCTGGGGGGCCTGGAACCGCGCCATCGTTATTATTATTATTATGATTAGTCGTCTTCTTCTTCTTAGTATCAGTCTTCTTCTTCTTCTTATGCTCTGCCCCAGATCCTTGCCCAGCTGCGCCACCCCCGCGACTGCGCCCGCGGCGACCGCCAGGCACCCGGTGTGCAGCCCCAGGAAGCAGCAGCCCGCGAAGCCCAGGCACGCGGTGCCCGCCGCGAGCTCGGGGGCGCGCGCGCACCGCGCGGGCCGCCGCACGGCTGCCGCCGGGCCGATGGCCCCGTGGCGGCCGCGGATGCCCGCGAAGCCCTCCTCGGGGAGGGCGCGCCGAGCATGTCTTTGGGTGCCCCTCGGACAGGGAGCGAGAGGTGGTCAGGGCGAATCTTCGGTGCCCCTCGGACAGGGTCTGAACGCCCTCCTCGGGGGAGCGCGCCAAGCACGCCTCCGGTGCCCCTCGGATGGGGCTTGAGCGCCCGGAATGGGGACGGAAAGAACGGGTGCAGTGCCCAACAGCAAATGTTGTCCAAGACCAACAGCGGCCGCTGTTGGGCGGGCGCCCTTCTGTCTCGAATGGACACAGGCCGCGGCGGCGTGGACAGCGAGTCCTGTTCAAAATGAACAGGAACTGCTGGTGGGCATTGCACCCATTCTTTCCGTACCCATGTCGGGCGTCCAAATAGGGAGCGAGAGGTGATCAGAGCGAATCTTTGCATGCTCCGGACCATAGAACATGCCACGTGGCGCCTCAGAGTCACGAGCATGCAATCTCGAGCAGGTGCTTCCTGAGAATGAAGTTTCCCGTAGCCCAGGGATCGGCCACTAGCATTTACCACCAGGAGCGCGCCAAACATGTCCTTGATGCCCCCCACTTCCGGCCCTCTGGGGCCAGTCAGGGGGTCGACCCCTCCCGCGCCGAGGTGCCTCTGTGGTTTCCCACGGAAAACAACTCAATGTTGATACGCGTTTCCGGGTTTTCCACGATCTTGCTTTACGCTATCCACCGAGCCACGCGCTGGGATGACGGTCAAGTTGAACAACGTTGACGCGTTCGGTACCCAAGCAATTAGAATGGACACCTCTTGAACCGCACAAGTACATGCGTCGCTGCAGCCGCCATCTCGACGGCAGGGACGAGGCATACATGAGACAAAAGGAAACACCAGAGGAGGAGGAGGAGGAGGAGGAGGAGGAGGAGGAGGAGGAGGAGGAGGAGGAGACCCCTCCAGCGCTCCCCCCTACCACCCCACCCGCCATCCAAACCATTCCGCACCCTCTTTGCCGCCGGACCCAGCAACCTGATATTCAATCTCCGCCAACCGCCACTGCAGCGACGGGGGTGGTGACACTGCGGACAAGGACTGATCAACTCGTCTGGTCCTTGCACGGCTCCAACCACGCCCGCCGTAAGCAACTTGATCTAGAAGCACGTCTTGTGGAACCGACGACAAAGTTCTGGGGTCACGGAGTGCGTTCTTTTAACTAACTGGAATGCGCGTCGATGTGGTGCACCTTGCTGCGCGGAAGGCACAGGCAACAGCAATGCTTCTGATGCCCACGCCGCTCGTGTTGCTGGCCGCTTACATTTCGCGTTTATATTGCGATGAATCTGGGAATGCTTCACGACTTGATTCCTGAACATGAAAAGCAACGCGTCCGGGACCGCGCGAGGACAAGCAACTGTAGAATCGCCATGTCTGCATTGCGAAGCATGACGAGGCGGGAGCGGAGGTGGGTGGTGTAAGCGCTATCCAGTTCCTGGTCATCCCCCCTCTGCGGGGGAGAAATCGGATATGACTGATGATGCAGCTGTCCTCTCCACCCTCATCCCCCCACCTCTCCTCGAATTATTCCTCCGCCTCATCGCGCTTATGCTGGTGATGCTGTCGCCGCTTGTGATGCTTCTGCGGCCGCTGCTCGTTGTCCAGATCCTCGTCGTAATCGCCGTTATCGTACCCAAAATTGCCCTATTGTCCTAATCCTGCTCCTACCCCACCACCTCCTCTCCTTGCTCCTCCTTTCCGTCTGGTTGAAACTATACATGCATCCATCTATCATATTTCTGGACACCCCGCCTACTCCTTCCTCTCCCTCCTTTCGCCCGCCCCTTCCCTCCTGACCCCCTCTGTCTCTCTCGATCTCCCCTTTCCCCCATACAGCCCGACGTCTTCCCACCTTGAACGAGGCCAACCAAACCACCCAATCGACCGGACCTCATGAACCAATCAGGGCAGCCACATCCATACGGAAAACAGGGATTAGAAAAACGAGGAAGACAGAAGGAACACGAGGAAACGCAGGGGCACGGAGGAGACGAGTGGGGGAGAAGTGAGCGTGCCGACTAGGGATTTGAGCCTTGCGGTGGAGGTACAGAAACAGGTGGAGAGGAGGAGAGGACCGAGGGGGAGATGCCAGGAGGAGGCAGTGAGTAGAAGCAGAGTTCGATGGGGAGCAAGGAGCAAGGAGGAGAAGAAAGAAGGAGGAACGACGGTGGGATCGGAAGGCGATCGGGCCAATCGGCAAAACCAGCCCGGACCAACGAGAATAACATTGCCCGATGAACCAGAAAAACCAAGACAACAGTATCCGAGCTGATCGACGAACGAATAGTTACTACACTTGACCACCGAGAACCAATCAGAATCGCCTTACCAATCAGAACAGTCCGATCAACCAACCAAAGCAAGGCTCAGGATAACCGAGGCCAATTAGACCATCCAAGCCATCCAGACCAAACCGACGAAGAGCAAACGAATCGAAGGACATCAGGCAAGCGAACGAAACAGATCGACCAAACCAGCCTGAACTATCAGACCAAAACGCGAACTCCAACAACAAACTGCAACGCACGAGATACTACAATGCAAACAAACACACTCAAAACAACACCTGCCGCGAACAAAAAACGCAATGCAACGAAACCGTGGTATGTCTTGATCATGGTCGTCGCCGCCGTGCGATTCGCACCCTCCCGCTACAGCCTCACAAAACACCCAAGTCTCACGCGGAACTCGAACCTCGACTTCCAGCAACGAAATTGCAGGGGACAACAGCACTGAAACGTAAAACAGAAGCAGCGCAAACCAATTGTAATATAGACGCGACGCAACAGAAACACTGCAATGCAGTAGCAACATGTCTATCGGATCATGGCTGCCGCCGCCATGCACTTCGCACCCTTGCAAGACCTCACAAACCACTCCCGTCGAACACGGAATCCGAAGCTCAAGAGCAAGGAGATAAATTGCAACACGCAAAAAGCGCAATACGAAAAATTCAACGTCAACAAAAAGAAAGCGTGCAATAAACGAGTTACGTTTCTAATCATGGCCATTACCGCCAGTCGCTTCGCGCCCTCCCTGAAACCCCCGATCCTCCGGCGTCTCACGCAGAAACCGGAATCCGATGCTGAGGCTCCTGCAACGAACCTGCGAAGAAAAACGGAATTGGAACGTCTTCGTTCTCATTTTACACTGCGCAGTGAGAAATCAAACAATTTCCCCCTACTCACATGGAGAATCCTCAGAAGCTCAAGGTCCAGCAGTCAAAGAGCACGCCCTGTGCTACCTGAACTGAAGCTTAAGACTCAGGCTTAAGATACACGGGCGAGATCTTTATCACCATTCCCCAATCAGGCTTCGCTCAGGGTTCTGACCTGTTGTTGCAAGAGGACCAGTAAGTGTGGCGTCCTTCCCTAGATGCATTCCTCGGGGTTCCCAAAGGTTCCCTGGAATGGTTCCCAAGATCTCCGAGGCTTCTCGAGATGCTTTCCTCGCCTAGGGGGTCCCCAGTTGCGTGTGAAATAAAACCGGTGGGTGCGGCGTCCCTTCCAAGATACATTCCACGGGACTTCTCGGGGTGAATCCTTTGCACTGCTTTGGATGGCCTTGCTTTGCATCGCCTTGCATTGCTTGGCATCGCTTGGCATTGCTTTGCACTGCGCGATTGCATTTGAATTGGATTGCGTCCCTTTGCATTGCATTGTTTTGCCATGCGTTGCTTTGCTCTCTTTCCTCACAGTGCTCTGCATGGCTTTGCATTGCACCGGCTGACGTTGAGTTGCATAGTGTTGAGTTTCCTGGTGTTGAGCTACATTGAGTTGGCATTGCATTGGCTTGGACTTCTTTGCATTGCATTGCTTTGCACTGTTTGTTTAGAATGGCTTGCATTGTGTTGGATTGCGTTGCTTTCCATCTCACCGCTTTGCACTGGATACTTGCGTTGGTTGGTTTAGCTCTCCATTACATTACTTCGCGTTGCATTGCACTGCCTGGTGCTGCGTGGCTCTGCATTAACCTGCATTGTATCGCATGGCACTGGCTTGTACTGCTTACTGTCATTGCTTTTCGTTGCGCTGCTTACTCGCATTAGTTTGTACTGCGTTGCTGTACACTGCTCTGCTGTGCATTGCTTCGCCTTGCTCCGCGCTGATCTGAACTGCTCCGAACTGCCGCGGAAGAGTGAAGACGCATCATTCGGGCCACACCGGGCTCATTCAGGCTCTGTAGCCAAGACCTTCCTCTTTCCCCCTCCCCCACCGTTCTCCTCGTCTCACCTCTGGCGCTGGCACCGCCGATTGACTCCCGAGCCTCCTCGCCGCGCCGAGGGGCCCGCTCCTGCGCCCGAGCATCGACCGTCAGCCGACCGTCCGTCGGCCGTCCACGGGCAGCCAACCGACCGTCGGCCCGCAGCAAGCGAGCCGCCGGCCGAGCGTCATCCGACCGTCGGCAGACCGTTCGCCGACCGTCAACCGACCGTCAAGCGGCCGTCAACTGGCCGTCATGCCACCGTCAGCCCGCCGCCAGCCCGCCGCCAAGCGCCGACCGTAAGACGACCGTCAGCCGGCGATCCACCGACCACCATGCTGCGATGCCGTATGCCGACCGTGCATCGGCCGTAAGCCTGCCGTCAACCGACCGCCAACCCGCCGAAACCCGACCATGGGCCCACCGCCAGCCCGCCGTAAGCCAACCGTGTGCCGACCGACACGCGGCCATCAACCGACTGCCAACCCGCGATACATTGACCGTACGCCGGCCGTAAATCGACCACCGACGATCGTCAACCAACCGCACGTCGGCCGTAAGTCGGCCGTACGCCCGCCGTCAGCCGACCGCCAGCCAGCCGAAAGGCAACCACTAACCCGCCGAAAGCCGAGCGTAAGCCCGGAGTGAACCAACCGCAAACCAACCGGTGCGACCCCAATTCGGAGTCTTCTCTTTTCTAGGGTTAGTCAAAACATTTTAGAACAATGCGAAGCAATGTAACGCAAACCGATGCAAAGCAAAGCAGGACCATACAACTACACAGCGAAT